CCCTGGGCAGGGTGTGTGTGGTGTGTCTCCATGCAGCTGCCATCGTGTCCCTGCAGCCTCACCCGTGGCCAATGGGAGCTGCAGAGGCTGTGCCTGCGGGCAGCAGTATGTGGAGACCCCACTCCCCGATATCCCCACTTAGGATCTACTGCTAGTGGGGTTGCCCCAGGTAAGCACTCTTCTGCCCCCAAACTCCTCTGCCCAGCCTAAACCCAGCATCCCTTCCTGCACCCCACCCTCTTCTCCCACACCAGCACCCAAGCTCCACCCCACAGCCCCACCTTCCTATATAGGCTCCCCCTTTCCCAAAAGTTTCCCCAGTTCCTAATAAACCTAACCCCTTCCTCCCTATATGCGTGTCTCATTCATGCATTGAGACCCTGCAGTTCTGTCTGTCTACCTGGCCCATTTAGAGAATGCTACCAGGGAGGTCCTGGTTTTCAGTCTCTTACCTAGCAGCCTAAATTTGGCTGCCAGGACCTGTCATTTAGCTTTCCCTATGTCATCGGTATCTAACAAATACCACAACTGCTGGCTTCTCCCCAAGACTACACGTAAGTCATAGAATCATAGAACCATAGAACCGGAAGAGACCTCAGGAGGTCATCAAGTCCAGCCCCCTGCTCTAGGCAGGACCAATCCCAACTAAATCAACCCGGCCAGGACTTTGTCAAGATGAGACTTAAACATGTCTAGGGATGGGGACTCCACTACTTCCCTAGGTAACCCATTCCAGTCTATCTAGATGTCTCGAGAGATCCGCAACCTTCGCACCAGGCAGGCAAGTTACCGTGCGGTTCTCCCGGTCATCACAAACCCAGCTATGTTTCTAATGATCAAATCCCTCATAATACCTGCCTCTTTCTAATAACTGGAGTTCCTTCCCCAGAGAGGTATCCCCAATGCGAGAGGATACCACGACATCCTCTGGAAGAAGAGTCCCAACTATGGGACCATTTCTCTCTCCTCCAGTTGGATGTTCTCCTTCCCTTTCACCCTCCTCAACAGCACAGAGGCTGTCTGGGGTGAGGGAGGAGGGATAATTCTACTGTGTCCTGGAAAGTCTCCTCTATGTACCTCTCTGCCTCTGTTAGCTCCTGCAGCTTAGCCAGCGTGGTCTCCGTAGATGGTCTCTGAGGGCCGGAAGCTCCTTGCACTGAATGCACACTTATGCCACCTGCCCACAGGGCAGGTAAACAATAGGCTACATTGGGTGTAATAAAGTGGATGCTGGGCTTTCGTGTGCCTTCTCTTTTTACTCCTAGACCTTATTCCTTTCTTGACTTTTTAAAATCAAGCGGCTTTGGTGTTAGTATAAAGAAGCTTAAAGAATGTGAAGTGTATCTACCTTAGCCAGCGCACCACCGGAGAAGCCCCCCAACCTCCCTACATTCTGCGCCCCCCTTATCCTTCCTTCATCCCAACAGTGCAAAGGTTGGCTGTCCCCACAGGGTGGGTGGGTCTTGAACCCTCAATCTCTGGCATCAGGTACCTTAGCCACTGTGCCCCCAGAGGAGCCCCCCAACCTCAAACTCTACCTCTCAACTCCCTCAGAAAACTCCCCTGTTAGGATACAAAGGGTGGGCTTTCTTTTGACTGGAGTACCTGACAGTGCTGGCAGGGCCATCTAATGACCCTCGGTTCAGTTTAATGGCAGCCTTTTATTATCATAAATCATCCTGTCTCTGTTTATAAATAAACTCTCTGCTACAAAAACTGTGCTGCTCCCAGTTTCTGAAGTCATCCTCGTCACACTCCAGCCAAGTTTTCACAGGCACTGTACAGCTCTGTCACTTTCTGGCGCAGGGATGTGAAAACACCCCTTCCCCATCAAGCGCAGCAAGTTATAGTGCTGAAAAGCCCCAGCGAGCGCCACACTACAGCACCGGGAGCCGCATTGCCAGCACTGGGAGCTACTCCCCTCGTGGAGGTGGTCTCCATGGAGCGCTGGGAGTGGTCTCTCCTAGCTCTTTTGCCTCTGTCTACATTTAACAGATTAAAGCACAGCCGCTGAAGTGCTTTTAACTGAAATTGTGGCCAAGCCTTAGTCTGCATTGCAGTTAAGAGCTCTATCTGGGACTTGGGTGAGTAGATCCCTAGTACACATTGAGCCTCTCTAGTCTGGCACTCTCGGAACCTGACCGGTGCCAAACCAGAGATTTTGCCAACCCACGGCAGGTCAATACGATCTAGCAGCATGACCGACACTTCCACTGCTTACTGGGCTCTTAGAAGACATTTAGGAGCAAATCAGAGCTAAATAGTAGCACAGAACACAGAGAGCCAGGACTGGTGGATGTAAACAAACACTATCGGACCACAGGAAATTGACCACACCCATGATAAGCGAACATCTGACTAAATAAAATCATACCGGACCACGGATGTTGCTGTACGAGAGAGTGCTGGACTCTACAAAATTCAGGGCTGGGACTATAGTTCCTGTAGACAGCCCCTAAATGGTGCCCCATGGTAATTATGCTACACTGGACTCAGAATTGTTTTCTCGTTTCAAGTGGCTGAACCATAAGGGGTCTGATTTCCGAGAAATAGCAGCCCAGCTCTCAGCTCCACCTCCCCACATTGCTCTGCTTCATTTTCCTTATACAGTTGAAAGGGAAGGTGAGATGGCCTTTTCCTGGCCTGGCTTCTTTCTTCTCGGCTTGGCACTGGACTGCAAGGCAGAGCGCTACATGGGCCCGTGGTGCCTGAGCGCCAGGAATATTCCTCTTCTACAGGCCCAGCTCCAGCACAGTTGGGGGCCGGGTCTGTGCCCCAGCCCTGCGTGCCACTCCTATGCGCCTCCCCCGGGGGAGGGGGGGCCCCGGCTCTGCCTGCTGCCACTAGGCAATTTAGAAGGGCAGCAGCAGCGCAGCAGGGGTAAAGCAGCTTCCTGCCGGCTTTGGCTCTGTGTATGGCTGCTGGAACGTCCCTGCGGCCCAGCCCCTGAGCAAAGTGTGTGTGTGGGGGGGGAGGGAAATGGTTCTGAAGGGAAGAGGCCTTGAACAGAGGGGACAGGGACGGGGCCAGGAGCCGCCAGACCTCAGCACAGCCTGGAGTGTGGCGGGGCCCCTTTCCCGCAGCCCTCAGAGCTCCGGTGGTGACTTAAAAGGCCTGGGGCTCTGGCCGCCACCACATCGCCCCCTTTCAACCCCCGGCCCTGGAGCAATTGCCCCCTTTACTGCCCCTCCCCCCATCAGCAGGCCTGCGTGCAGCCCCTGGGCAGGTATGTGTGCGCATGTCTCTGCGCACGGATACTGGCAGGTCCCTGCATCACCTGCGGGTGTCTCTGGGCGCTGCCTTGCCCCGAGTGCGCCTCCAGCCAAGGGGAGCTGCAGAGATGATGCCTGCAGGCAGCACACACAGAGACCCCCACCCCTACTGTCCCTACTTAGGAGCTGCTGCCAGAGGTGTCCCAGTAAGCGCAACCTCCTCAACCCATACCCCCTCCCACTTCCAAACTCCCTCCACAGCCTGAATCCTACACCCCTTCCCACACTGCACCTTCTCCTGCCCCCAATCTCCCTCCACAGCTCAAATCCTACATGCTTTCCTGCACCGCTCCCACAACCCCTCCCGACCTCAAACTTCCTCTCATAATCTGCACCTCTCACTCTCTGCCCCAGCCTAGAGCCTGCACTCAGTAGCCAAACTCCATCCCAGAGCCTGCACCCGAAACCTCCTTTTGCACCCAAACTTCCTCCTGGAGCCTGCCCCTGTCCAGAGCTTGCCCCCCTCTCCCACCCAAACTCCCTCACAGAGCCTTAGGCAGGGAGGGGGAAGGGACTTGGACCCCCCATTCCAGGCCCCACCAAAATTTCACAAGTCGAAGCAGCTGGAACTTTACACTGTTTTTGGCTGAAGCTGTTTGATGGGCTGGATTGGCCCTGGAGTTGTTTTCTCATTTCAACCAGTTGAACTGTAAGGTGTCTGATTTCCAAGAAATAATGGTCTTGGTCTCAGCTTCACCTCTTCCCCTCGGCTTTCTTGCTTACATTCTCTCTCTCCCTTTCCATTAAACCATCTGTCTGCCTCTTAGTTTCATTTGACGTCCCCTCTGGTTTTGTTCCACACATACCAGCCCATCTCTTCTCCATCCCTCTCTGTTCCCAGGGCAGAAAGAAATTCACACGTCACGTGTATATGATGTAAAGATCATGCAGAGCACAGCCACGATTTCTTGGACTTGGCATGATACGTGCACATTGTTTGCTTTAAGCAACCCTTGCATGGCCTGCAGCTCCTGGTGGGGTTTTAAATTTAAAGAGAAATGCAGCCACCTTGACAGCACTTAATAAATTAAGTCAGAAATCACATTTCAAAAGCCAACAGGGTAGCATGTGGATACCCTTGCTCTACCCAAACAGCAAAGGCATCCCAAGCTTGCTCCGTACATTTGGCTGAGGTTAGACATTGATCTCAGAAGGAACTTTTTACTCAATTCTCATTTCATCTCCCTGATGCTTCATCTGTGTCCTGGCAGATCCTCTTCCCCTTTTAGTGCAAAATCCTTTCCTTCAAAGATAATGAGTGTGTATAACAGAAGGTACAGGACCAGGGGAAAAAATACATTGGACGCGAAAAATAGCAGCAAACAGTCTTTGCAAAAGAAAGGCCATGGCTACATCTACACTACAGGCTTCTTGCGCAAGAACAGCTGTTGTTGCGCAAAAACTTGTGCAAGAATGCACGTGCAGTGTAGATGCTCCGCAAGTAAACTTACAGTACAGAGGGTTTCTTGCACAAGAGTTATTCCTCTCCCCACGAGGAATAAGCCCTCTTGCACAAGAGTTCCTGTGCAAGAAGGCAGTGTGGATGGGCAACAGGGGTTTCTTGTGCCAGAAACCCCTATGGCTAAAATGGCCATCAGAGCTTTCTTGCGCAAAAGAACGTCCACACTGCTATGGAGGCTCTTGCGCAAAAGCACATGGCAGTGTGGACGCGCTTTTGCACAAGACCTTTTGCGCAAGAACTGTTGCGCAAAACAGTTCTTGCGCAAGAAGCCTGCAGCATAGATGTAGCCTTATAAATGTATGTCATAGTTATGGGTTGGGGTTTTATAAGCTTCCCTACTAGACTATTTTCAGCGTGACTTGATCATTTTAGTTCGCATCCCAATGTCTTTTATTTAAATGTTTGAAGTTAAATTGATGTATTGCATTCAACCATGCTGAACCTTGGGAATAGATTTTTTTTTTAATTCCCAGAGAGTTGGGGGTTTGATTCATAGATTTATTTGTTCTTCCTCGAGCTCTGCCTTAGTCTCACTGTGTGCTCTCTGCACCTCACTTCTAACCAAATATAAAATGAGAATAATGTTGTCTCTTCTTTGAATACCAACTGTATCCTACTGCCAACACCAATGCTGCCCCTCTGACAAACTATTGCACAGTTCTGGGGCCTTGAAGGTCAGCTTGCGTGGAGGAGAATTCAGTGACATGGAGTTCTGGTGTATTCTGGCTGTAGCGTGTGTTATTTACACCATGAGCAATTGCAAAGTGCATGCCGGCTTTCTTCTTTTCCAAAACTCTCAGCCACACATACAGCTGCGCTCTCTCAAGAATGGCCTCCAAATAGACAAAATAAAGCATGTTGTTCTGACAAATCAGCATAACCGTTGCATGAGTGAGTCCTCACCAGCAAAAGACCACCGTGCGCTAAGCAGTTGGGAAAACAGCTTCTTCACCTCGGACGCTGAGACCAGGCGGTGAAAGCAGAGGCGTTTGCTGAGAGGCAGTAGAGAAGAAAGCCCATGAGTCTTAATAATTCTTTCTGATAAATAGTATAAACTTAAAAAAACAACAAATAGTCTGGTAGCACTTGAAAGACTAACAAAACATGTAGATGGTATCATGAGCTTTCGTGGGCACAGCCCACTTCTTCAGATGACCCATGGAAGTTCATGATACCATCTACATGTTTTGTTAGTCTTTCAAGTGCTACCAGACCATTTGTTGTTTTTTTAAGTTTATCCTGTACAGACTAACTCGGCTACCTCCTGAAGCAGCCTATAAATAGTAGTTATGCCCTCCTGCCTAGTCATGCATATAGAAATATTTCAAACATGAATTTCCTCATTCGCTCCATTCAGAAATGTTCCTTCATAATTAGGGCTTCTGATTTTCAGTTTTATCCCCCCCAAAAAACTGATAAAACATCTCCCCCCAATAAAAAATGAATCAGTGTTTACTTAAGAAATGCCAGAAAAACACTGGAAATGTTAAGTTGTATCTAAGGGCTTGTCTGTAGGGGATAGTAATCCAACACATGGCAGTGTGGACGCGCTTTTGCACAAGACCTTTTGCGCAAGAACTGTTGCGCAAAACAGTTCTTGCGCAAGGTTGACAGAAGTTTTGTCGACAGATACTGTCGACAAAACTTCTGTCGACAAAGAGCGTCTAGACTACATTGAGTTCTGTCGACAAAGCAAGCTGCTTTGTCGACATGATAGTGTAGACGCAAGGACAGTTTACATTCAATAACACCTTCTGTTGACAGAAAGTCTGTCGACAGAAGGTGTTATGCCTCGTAAAATGAGGTTTACCAGCATCAACAAAACTGCTGAGTTCTGTCGACGTTATGTCGACAGAACTCAGCGGTAGTGTAGACGCAGGTATAGTTTTGTCGACAAAAGTCCACTTTTGTCGACAAAACTCTGTAGTCTAGACACACCCCAGATGACAGGAGTGTGATTTCTAAAGTATACTACAGGTTGGACCTCCCTGGTCCAGCACCCTCAGGACCAGACCTGTCCTAGATGAGGGATTTTGCTAGATCAAGTGAGGTCATTTCTGGACCCCCTGTCGGCCCCCATCCCCTGCCCCCGGCTCGTTGGCTTCCTGGCCGGCTCCTCACATCCTGCTGGCCCTGCTGCCCTGCCAATCTTGCTGGGCAGCCATCGCTTCCCTGGCTCTGGGTTTCATCCCACAGCCGTGCGTGCTATGCTGGGGATCCGTGCCTTGTGGGCAGTCATGCATGCCGTGCTGGGGTTCTAGGACTCAGTGGGCATCCACACCCCATGGGTCCTTGACCCACCAATCCACATGTGTTTCCCAACCCCGCTGGGCAGACCTGCTGCCACACACTGACCACGAAGTCGCTGTGGGCAGCCCGCTGACTTGCTGGCCCTGCAGGGATCCTTGCCTCTGACCTCCTCTGGGACATCTGGTCCTACAACATCCATGCTGGACCATGGATGTTGTCGGGTCAGAGAATCTTGGTTAAGAAAATTTCAGTTTGTAACGTGTTGCATATGAATTGATCCATGTAAACTCTGGTGGTGCACACTAAAGGTTCCCTCATTGCTTTAAAGCACACCAGGGAGCTTTATAAAGGGACCACGCGTTACAGTATATAATAGACATGACCCATTGCAATTTATACAAAGAGAAAAACCCTTTGTGGTCCCATTTTTGACATCTCCATAAAACTCAAAAAATACTAAGAAATAAACCCTGAAAAAACCCACAAAATTGACAAACCCTGAAGAATAGGACCTCCATTCAGAATCACATTTTCTGAGTGAAAATGAAACTTGCTTAAAATATCGGCTGCACAAATGTGCAGCTGCCCAAGGCAGCAACTTTTCTTTCCTGATGATGCCACTGCTGCAGATATGCCCTCCATTTCCGAGGCCAATAGCCTGGCATAGCAGTAGAACAGGAGATTAACAGAATACCTGGATGATCAGCCCAGAGGATGAATGGCCCATCTCTGGCCCAGAGCAAATTACTGATGCGGTCCATTAAGGCCCTCCTGGGTACTTCTCAATGTTCATCTCAGCTTTGAGTTTTGAAGAAAAAAAGACCAAAGAAGGAACTATCCAGTCTCACTGCTCCATCTAGTGGAGGGAAAAGGAAGTCAGTTCATTCCAAAACAGCCTAGTTTTCGTGGCTTTCCGAGAAAAGCAATCTGGAGTGCTCCCTCTATAACTGTTACTACTAGAAGTACTGGAAGGAAGAGGCGTAATAGTACTGGAGGGCTGAACACTGTTCTGCTTCTGTAGGCTGAGTTAATTGTCCACACCAGGGGCTCCTGGCATTCCTCTCTTCTCCCCCACAAACTTCCTATGGGTCATCTGCATTTCAGGGCCTTGCTGATCCCTGCCAACCACCATTCTCTTCCCTTCCCTCCCCTCCCTCATGGTGGGGGCTCTGTGCCTCTCTGTGCCAACATTCCTCCCTTCCCCATGACAGATTTTGATGTTAATTAATTAAGTAATTAATATTATTAAGCCTAGAGACCCCAGTGAAAACTTCAAGCTTAGTCCACTGCGTGGCACTCTGGTTAGAACTATCTTGGACTACCTCAAGTAGAGGTGAGGGGTAAGGTCAACAGTCAAAGTTCTTATTGACAGGGCCACGCTGAGAGTGATCACTCAGGGAACCCTGCCTTTTGAAACCGTGCATCCTGAGATAGCTTCTTACTGACTCGACAGTGCAGGCTCCAGAAGAAACGACTGGGGGAATCACAGGCCCCCTACTCAGGACATGAACGGTCCAATGGAGAACGGTGGCCTTCTCATGACGTGTCTATGTCAACTCACCTTAGGAACAACGCATCCTGTGCACGCCCTCACACACGCCCAGTTGGAACTCCGGACACTGCACGCCATGAGTCATTAGGTAACCCCTCCCCACTGTTACTTAGTTACACTCAAAGAACATGAACACAATCTAGGCCAGTGAGGGAGGAGCGCAGGCAGCTGCCTATGGCTTGTAAGTCCACATTTAAATTTGCTTCAGCCAACTTCGGTCACCTTCAGGGGCTCTACTGGCTATATTAAAGTGGCTAAGCACCTTGTTCTAGGCCATGGGTTCCCAAACTGGGGGGGCATGAAGAAATTCCAGGGAGGGCATGAGGTGACCCAATCCTCCCCCCCTCCCCGCCCCATCAGGGTGCGAGGCGACCCAGCCTCCCCCCTTATCAAGTTTTGCTGCCCTGCTCAGTTTTTTTTCTTTTTTTTTCTCAACAAGTATTGCTGCTATTTGGGGGATTGGGGGGAGGGTTTTTCAAAAATCAAAAAGGGGGGCGTGATGCCAAAAAGTTTGGGAACCACTGTTCTAGGCGATAACATCACAAAAGTCTGCAATCTAGGGACCCCACCCTGAAGATTCTTCTCCACCTGCTGTTAAGTTTTACTCACCCAAGAACGGCAGAGAACCAAAGCCGTGATGGCGGTGGGCACATTCGCACTGGCTAACCCTGGTGAGCTAGCGTGCGGATACAAATAGGGTTGCCAGGTGTCCGGTTTTGAACCGGACAGTCCAGTATTTGAGCTTTCTGTTTGGGAAACAAATTGAGAAAATAGAAATGTCTGGTATCATATATATAGTAGCCCATTGTCTGTGCGTCTGTAACGCTGATGTACACGGCCACGCCCCCTGGCTGTGTCTGTCTGCACCCCGCCCCCCTTCCCCTCCCTCTGTGGCGGTTCGGCCCAGCACTGCGCTGATCAGAGGGGGCAGCCCATGCAGCTCTAGAGGGGAATAATCACTGCTGTTGGGAGAACACAGGGACTGCTAATATAACCGGTTCCTGGGTCAGGAAGGGAGAGGCTTAGGAACTTTGTACTATATCTACTTTTCACTCTCAGCCCTGGTCTACACTAGGGAGTTATTTCAAAATAATTTCCCTTATTTCAAAATAGCAAGCAGAGCATCCACACTACGAAGCCCATTATTTCAAAATAAGGGGCTGGCTATTTTGTAATAATAACTCCTTCTTTACACACACATTATTTTGAAATAGTTACTTTGAAATAGCGGTAATGTGGATGCTTAGTTGCTGCTATTTTGAAATAACTACACCCCAGAGACATTCAAAGTAATTACTCGCCAGTGCTTCCTCGGGCTCTAAGTCGAGGTAGCACGTCAACATTAAGGGAGCCAGCCTCAGACTAATTTCGAGGCTTCCCCATAGTGTGGATGTGCTATTTTGAAATAGTTATTATTTCAGAACTAGCCACTAGCCCATCATAGAACGGGATTTTTCGGGTCTCTCCTCCATGTCCGTCTCTCTCTCTCTCCCCTCCTCCTGCCCCCCCCCCGTCTCTCTCAGCTCTCCTCCCCCTCCTGCCTCTCTCTCCATCTCTTTCCTTCTCTTCTCCCCCTCCTGCCTCTCACTCTCCCTTTCTCTTCTCCTCCTCCTCCTCCTGCCTCTCTCTCCCCTCCGTCTCTTCCCGCCACCCTTCCCCTTCCCCTTCCCTCTTGCCGTGGTGTTTGGCTGAGTGCTGCCTGCTCAGCCGGGCTGCTGCGAGGGAGAGGGTAGGGCGGTGACTTACACAGCCAGGGGGTGGGGTCATGTACATCACCGCTTTCCCTTCCCCTCCCAGCCCAGGGGAGCCCAAATGGCCCCTTGCACTGCTGGCTCCCCTGGCGGCCCAACTGAGGGGCGCAGCACTCAGCTGAGTGCCACAGCAGGAGGGGAAGGGAGGTGGTGACGTAGACAGCCCCACCCCCTGGCCGTGTACGTCACCGCCCCCTTCCCCTCCCGCTGTGGCACTCACCTGAGTGCTGCGCCCGTCAGCCGGGCCGCCAGGGGAGCCAGCAATGCAAGCAGGGCACCGGGCTAGGAGGCCTGTGTTCCAATGCTGACTCAGGGTGACCAGATGTCCTGTTTTTAAAGGGATGGTCCCATTTTTAAGCTCTCCTCCAGGTGTCCCCACATTTTTTTAAAAGGGGCCAGTTGTCCCGTATTTTCTCTCTCCCCCCTCCCATCAGTGCTGCTGGCCAGATCCTTGCTTGCCAGTCGCCCACCCATCAGCGGTGCGAGTCCAACGGCTGATGATGGAGCGGGGAGGACAAGGCTGGTGGTCAGGCAAAGATGCAGTGTGTGGGGCTGGCCGCTCCTATGCTGGTTTGTGAGTGCAGTCCTTGCCGCGGGCAGGCCCTTGGCCACTAGGCTCTCACCCCACCCCACCCCCGTTTCCACCCAGCCCCGGCTGCTTGCTGTGGTGGTTGGTGAGTATGGGCTGGCAGGGGCCGGTTACGTGCCACCTGTGCTGCCCACCCCTTGGCTCTTTACCTGCTTCCCCTCTCCCTGCTGTGCCCCTTCACCTTCCAGCCTGCTGCCCCCCTTCCCCCATTCCCCGGTGGGGTGTGTCCTGCTCCCCACGCTGTGCAGAGAACCAGCCCCCGCTCAGATCATTCCGCTCACCAACAGCCTGGCTGGCCGGCTCTTTTCTCCCACACTCCACTGCCGCTGGCTGGGCTGGCACCAGGGGAAGCTCAAGACCCTCTGCCCAGGGTGCTGCCTAGGTCGAGCCAAGCCCTGCATGTGCCAGAGCTTAGCGCTGGCCCGGGGAAACGTCTCTTCCCTCCCCCTGCTCGGCTCAGCTCTGCAGTGGGGGGAGGAAACTATTTCCAGCCTGTTTGTGTCCTGGCCTTGCAGCAGCCCCCTGGTAAGGGTACCTGGCCTCTTCACACATGGCCACTACCCTCTGTCTTTGTGCAGGGCTGCTCTGTGCCCTAGGCACCTTCCCCTGCTGGGCCACCTCTCTGGCCACCTCTCTGCCCCTGCAGACAGATTCTCTGAGCCCTAGAGCAAAATGCATCCTTAGGGCTTAACCCCTTCCTGCCCATGCTTTAGCCCGGGGGACAGAAGGTGGCTGGGTTGTCGGTGGCCAGCAGCAACTTGGAGGTGTTAGCTGCTTTTCGACTCCATGTGGGTAGGGAGGGACACGCTGCTTCCAGGTGGGCAGGACGGGAGGGAAGAGAGCACCACTGCAAAACCAGGGGCCAGGTCATCCCTACCCTCAGCCCCACCTGCAACTGGAAGCAGCTCCCATCCCTTCCCTTCTGCACAGTGCTGAAAGGCTGCTGGCCATGCTCTGGTGTGAACCCCCACAGAAATCTGTGACCCTCTGTGTCCCTCCCCCCACATGTTGCCTCGAGAAGCCGCAATACTACTACCAGGAGATGTGAGTCTGTCGGTGGGACCCAGCCAGGCATGGAGGTGGGGAGCACTGGGTGGGGAAGGTTGGGTCGAGTCCATCAGTCATCTCTTACATGGGGATGGGTGTGAGTACACAAATGTGTCCGTGTTACCTCTCCCCATGCAAACTGTAAAGATAAAAAAGTAAACAATAAGACTTCAGCTAGGCAGTGTTTCTTTCTAACAGGGCTCATTTAACCTGATGTTAATCTGAATGTTTGTACTCGAGTAATTTTACCATAGGGAAATAGGGTCACCCTGCTGATTCAACACATGACATTTGGCAAGTTACCCTCCCCAGGCCTGAGTCTGCCCTCCTGTAAAATCAAGAGAATGATGCGTATGCAGCTTTTCAAGGTACTTTGAGCTCTAAATATCCTTATAGCTATTTTGAGTCCAGGCCTTGCTCCATTGCTTTTGTGCTTGTTTATTTTCCAGACAGGATGTAACATTTGAAATACGAATGATTGTATCACTGAGTGTGTCTGACCAAATTCACCAAGGCCTCCTTTTCCTCACCCAAATAAAGATGTGTTGTATCGGCCTATGCACTGGGCATTACACCTGCTTTTCTAAGATGTTTATATCTTTTGTTAACAGAACAAGCGGTCATTGGGAAAGCCAGGACTGCCCATGAGTATTCTGTTATCTGAATTCCTCCAACTGCCACCACTAACAATTTAGTGAGTCGTCTGCGTGCAGTTTATACCGTGAACTGTACTTAGGTGGCAACTCCTTGGGAGCCAGGATCATCTTTTGTTAGAGGTGCGTGCACAATAGGGTCTCGATTGATGGCTAGGGTCTGTCACATGGTCCCCCTTGGAGGGGCCAGGCACCTAGTCTACCTGCAACATGTTCTGTTAGGGAGAATGAGCCAAGCCAGATACTCCTGTGCCTAGTTAATTGCCTGGTTTGCAGTTAATTAATTAAAGAAGTCATAGGTGTAGTAAAGGGTTATGAGGGCTCAGTCCAGACTCCCCAACAAGCCTTTCACAAAGTCTAAAAACTAAATACGCTGTTCTCTATTATGATAATGCCAATGCACAGGCAAGCTAGACTGGTTTCTCGATATGCATCTGTAAGTGTGCAGTTAGGTCCAAGGACGTTATCATGAGCCGGCACCTGGTCTACCAGTGTCACACTCACCAGAACAGGGACCCACGTAGGAAGGGGATCTCTAGTGGGCAGAGGTTCTGAAAAGGTGAGAGCTACCAGGGCCAAGCTCCTGCAGAAACCTGCTCCCAGGAAAAGATCCTTACCAGCTAGCTCCGTGTGGTCCATATCACAGAGGAAATACACACTGCTCCAGAGAAGAACTGCAGTGACTTGGCCTGGGAGGGGGCCCAGAGAGGGAACATATCCCAGGTGCTGGGAACAGGACCAACTCCAGAAGGAGGCTGAGATCAAGGCCTGCAGGCTCGTTTGCTGGTCATCGTGCTTGAACCCATATAGACATGGGCAGATCCTGAATCTAGCTGCAGGAAGGGTAAGCTTCAGAGGGTTAAATAAATGAGACCCCTGAAGGGACACTGTTCACTACATTAAAACCTCAGTGGAAGCCTATTAAGGGAAACTGAGGCACAGATGTCCTGGGCTGCCCAAGAGTGCTGTAGGCATCAGTGTGCACCATAGCAAGAATCCTAGGGTGTGTCTAAACTACATGGCTCTATCGATGGAGTCTGGACAAAGGTCTGGACGCACCGTGGTCAACAAAGAAGCCTTTGTCGACAGGCGCGGGTAAAACTGGTAAATCCTTGTCGACCGCGGTGCATCCAGACTGCCCCGATCTGCCGACAAACAGCTGATCATCAGCTGGTCGGCAGAGCATGGCAGCCATTTAAATGTAAATGAAACCGCGATTATTTAAATCGTGGTTTCATTTCCCTCTGCCGATCAGCCTCATCTACATGGCTCCGTCGATGGAGCCATGTAGTTTAGACACACCCCTAAAAATGAATGCAGTACTAATTGACAACAACAAAAGCATTTGGTTCCATTAATTCAGTAGTTTGGTGAAAACTTTCCTCCCCCTCCCCCATAAAGTATACTTTAAATACAGTATTCCATTACACCAGAAGAGGGCACCCTTGACTATAGATGGGCACATTCATAGCTAGAAAAAACGATAGCCCAAGGGCATCCCAAGGAAAGCAATGCCTAAGAAGCACAAGGCATGGTATCTGGTCCAGTAAAAATAAAACCACAACCACAGTTTTAAAGAACTTGCTGTAATAGGTTTTCTCTCCATTTAAAAGACAGCTAAATGGAAACAGGAGCTCAGGCAGCAAAAGCACTAACATAAGATACTTCACTTTCCAAACAAGGCAACATTTTAGACTATAGTTAAT